GCTTGCTCTGAATGCGAGCTCGAAGTCAAACGACACATTGGTATGAATTTGCACTACCTCGTCACTCTTCCTATCTCCCTCATTGTTGCCGCTCCTCCCCCCATCGTTGAATCCGTTCTCTTCCCTTTCATCCGCCTACACCCCCTCCTTCTCCCACCTCCTTTCCGCGCTCCTCCCTCCACCTCCTCTTGCTGGACTTTCGCCTCCCATCGTCCTGCACCTCCTCCCTTTCCCGCTCAAACGTTCCAGCAGACCAAAGCCGAGGTCGCACAGGCAGAGCAGAGACGAGCACGACATGAACGCGACACTTGGCCAGCAAGGGCAAGGCGCTGGCAGGCGAAGGGGGGACGAGGCCTCCAGGGGTTCCTGCAGATGCGGGCCTGGGAGGCATCCAGAGGCCTGCAGAGGCCCAGAAAGGATAGAAGACGCCAAGCAGCTCTTCGCCTTCGAGCCCTGACCCGCGCAAAGAGGCCAAAGGCCACGCGATCAACCACCCTGGCCGTCGCCGGCCAAGCGCGGCGGCTGGCGGCGGCGGAGGTGGCGCGTCCTTCAGGCAGGAGGCAGGAGCAGCACGCCTCGGCAGGCAGGAGCCTTCGCCCTCCTCGTCGCCGCCGCCGTCGCCGTCGGGGGTGCGAGGGGGATGAGAGAGCGGAGAGGCCCAGGAGGCACAGTCGAAGCTTAGGGGCAGGGTCCACCGTGGCTTTCGGGAAGAGCTCGAGGTCCTCAGCCCCCTCCACGGGTATTCTCTTCTGGAGTCCTTCGTGCACGCAGGCGCGGCTGAGGCCCAAAATGGGCTCGGTTCACTCTTAGCCAGGCAGGCCCGGGAAGGGGAAAATCTCTCCAGCGCGTTCTGGAACGTTCTCGAAGGGTTCCCGAACGCTCTGAAACGGCTGCGGCGCCCAAGACATCCTCCAGAACCGCTGGTTCTCAGAGCTCCCCCAAATACCCCGATCCGATTTTGCCCCGATCTTGGCTTCGTCTTATCCGCTCCTTCCTGTCCAGGGTTCGGGTGTTGCTAGAAGTGCCCCTGGCCCAAGGTCCCCCCAGGATTTCCAAGGAGGCTCCCACGGCCTCCAGATCACCCCTCGCGAGGCCCAGAGGGCCCCAGGGGCTCCAACATGGAGCGAAAAGCTTGAGGCACCTCGGGCCAGGGGCACCTTTAGCAACCCCCGAAGGGTTCCTCCTCCTCTCAAAGCCTTGACTGTGCGGTGGAGTCGCGACGCGTCGACGCGGGGGCGACCACGGCGCGGGCATGCAGGGTTGAACGCTGCCGGTGGCACGGAACGGTAGGCCTCGAACGGCCTGCGCTATCGGGAAGCCGCCGCCGTTCTAGGCTGGCCGATGCAGGAGGCCACGAAGGACAAGCGGCATGAACTCGAGTGGTCGACGGTCCGCGCTTACTTCTTGGATCTACGCTGGACCCCCTCCCTGGCGCGCGGAACGTGCCGGGGGCGGCGCCGGAGGCGCCTCCAGGGGGGTCCAGCGCAGATCCAAGACATCTGCGCAGACCGTCGAAAGTTCATGTCTGTGCCGTTTTGCTCTTCTTCTGGAGGGGTCAGAAAGTCCGCGCCGACGTCGTCACGGCACGCACCTGCCGCAGCCCCCGCTCCTGGGCGGCGCGGGGGAGGGGCGCCAGGAAATTGCGGACGATGCGGCCTCCTCGACGCCGGCGAAGAAGAGATAGCCCAAGGCAGCCCAGGCCCAGGGGGCGACCGAAACCGCAGGGGGCTGCCCGTGACTCTCCCTCCCATCCGCATCATCAGGACTCCTCCTCCTCCTCCTCCTTCTCCTCCTGCTCCTCCTCCTCTTTCGGGGGAGGGAGGAGAGGGCGTGGTCGAATGCCTCGGCTCTTGGCCCGTCTGAGGCTTTGTGTGGGCCCCAGGACCCCCAGGGGGGGGGGTATCTGACGCGGGACCCCTCCCGGGACTCCCCCGGGACCCCCCCCCCGGACCCACCCCCCCAGGCAGGGAAGGGATCAAAGGGAAGGGGCTTCCCTTCGACTCAATGACAACGTTGCTCTTGAGGGGGAGGCCTTGGGAAAGCAGGGGGGGAGCGGCGACGGGCCCAGGGAAGAGGGGGAAAGGGGAGGAGGGGAGACGGGCCCAGGGAAAGGGGGGGCAGGGACAGGAGACGACTGGCCCAGGGAAAGGGTGGCGCAGGGACAGGAGACGACGGAGACGACGACAAGCGAACGACGGGAACGGACAAGCCCGTCACACATTCCGACACAGGGTCGGCGGATTTTGTCTATCTGGCGGTTTTTCCATGATTTCGGCCTGGGGGGCCGTCACCGGGCCCTGGTACCATATAGAAAAGCGCCCCGAGCCGCGCTGGCAACCCGCTTAAGCCACCACGTGAGGTCGCTATGCCATCCCGCGTAAGACCCGCCTGTGTTCGTCGCCTACGTGCGTCGAAGTGGAGCGGCGGCACGGGAGGTTCGTCCGGCGGGCTTCACACCGAGAGAGCGGAGCCCATTTCACAGTAAGAAGCATGATTATTTTGTGCCGCCCAGCGGTTAGGAGGGCTTTGTTGCACGTCTTTTCGTCGAGGCAACGCATTGCCTTGATGCCTCCTTGTAGTTTTTGGTATGCCCAGGGCCGCGCGCGGCCGTCCAGGTTTAATGTTCATCCTCCTGGCCCCCCGCGCTTGAACGAGGTGGGCCAAGCCAAGGGTGAGTTCGACAATTAAATATTGGATGCTGCGTTGCTGTTGGCCCAGGGAGCCCATGCCTTCTGTGGGCACTCGAGAGTCCTTGTGCTTCGAAGATGGGGGGGGGGCATGATCAATTCCTGTTGAAGATCTCCTGACATTGATACAGCAACTGAATGCTGCGAGTGGGGAGCGCCCATGCTGAAACGAACGCGCTTCCTGATTGACCATGTAGACGATCGTGATTTAGAGGAGCCAGATCGACAGTGTTCGGGATGGGGATGACGCACTAGGATTGGTCTCCCCGCCAATATTTTGAGGGGTAAGACCCGGCCCCTGGCAACCGTCGCCCTCTATTCGACAAGTCGTATTCTTTTCGGTTCGCTCATGTCTTTGAGATGTTGTTCGCTTCGCAAGCTCGAGAAAGGCTGGCGGCCGAATTGATGTGAACGCATCCTTCATTTCGGCTGCGGGTGGGGGTTGTTTCCGAGTGCTCGTGTCTTGTTGCTGTTCGTGGTGCCTTGAGGGCTGGCCTCGTCCGTTTGCAGACAGCTCGGCTGTGGCACGAGAAGGGTCATGTTTGGAGAATTCGAAACAGAGCCATCGACCACTCATCCATGCCGCTCTCATCCTCAACATGCTCGTCGCGCATGTCCATCATCATCCTCGTCCTCATCCCCGCGCTCCCCTCCTCATGCCTCCTCTTCCACTCCTCAACGTCCCATTTCCCCATGGGGCTAGGTGGGGTGAGGCGACGTAACAAAAGGACGAGAGGAAGGAGACGAGAGGAAAAAATCCGAGAGAGGAAGGATGAGAAGGGAGGACGGAAGGGGAGAGAGGAAAGAGGCGCGCTAGGATCGTTTCGCGCCACATCTGGCATCCTACAGCCAAGGCGCGGGAAGAAGGAACAGCTCGGGGTCGTAACGGGCTCGTTGTTTCTTTTGTAATTTGATGCGTGTTCCTCAAGCATTATGTGTGCACCCAGGCACTGCTGCGGCCCAATGAAGGCTTCGCTCTTTACTTAGTCAGTTACTCATTGTAGTATATTGACTGTACTCGTCCCGCCTGTTCCCTTTCGGGATTTTGAATCCTTGTTCTCGATCCGCTGACTGTGATGCCACTGAGGACTGATCCTCAGATGCCAGGGGACACGTTTACACAGGAGGAACAGAGAGAGGAGGAGGGAGAGGAGGAGGAGGAGGAGGAGGAGAAGGCAGATGAGCAAGGCGCACATGAGGAAGCGGAGGAGCAGGACAAGGAGCAGGTGGAACTGGAGAGTCGGGGGAGGGCGGAAGGGGGGGAAAGGAGGTGGCGGCAGCTGCGAGGCAGCATCGGATCTTTGAATGTGGCCCCGGCTGGGGTGCGAGCGGCATTGTGAATTACGAAACTCCTGACATTTTGTGGCCAACGTTACAGCAAGAACACCGTTTGCTTTGAGGACCGAAGGCGGTCCGGGTCTCAAGGCACACAATAACAATATCGAATATCAAGCGAATGAAGAATGCGAGGGGGGATGCGGCGCGACGACTGCACTTGGGAGAGGTAAGTAGTACTCATTACTGGCGAACGGTTGTGCATAGGCCTTGAGTGCGTGGTTGAGGTGAGGTTCCGCGGTGCGGACTCATGCTGCTATTTTTATGATTGCCCCACCCGCGGCCCGCCCCGGAAACCCCCTTCGACCCACCCACATCGCTTTGACACAAAATCTGCGCTTGCGGCTGGATCGTTGTACGAAGTGCTGCAAATGCAGGGCCTGCGGCGGGTTTATTCTCATTTGCTGTCGAGCCTCACAAGCTTCCGACCACCCTCCGCCCTCTCACTCTCGTTTGCTTTTGCGGGGCCGTGTGTTGATTACGTGTGGAGGAGAAACACGGTGAAGAGGACGAGATAGTTCAAAGCATTGCATATTTGACCAGTAGCCTAGTTCAACGAACAGCACGACCCATCATGCACGCATGATAGGCAGTGCATCTCGTTGGATTCCAGTCGTCGAGGAGCAAATCGCAGGGAGTAAGAGTGAGGAGGAGCCGGAGGCAGGAGGCGGAGGAGGAGGAGGAGGAGGAGGAGGAGGTAGGACGAATCTGAGGAACAGGAGGAGGGAGGAGGAGGGTGGGGTGCGGGGTGATGGTGGCCGGGCGAGTCTCACCGTTCCCACGTGCCTGTCTCCCCGAGGTATGTGTGGATGCTGGGCGCCTTCCTGAGACTGTGGCGGGGGCGGGCAATCGCGTCGCATCTCGGTTGCCACAATCCGTGCATCAGTCCTTCTGATCGTTCTCCTCCCTTGTCGCTCCTGCGACTGGGTTTCTTCGATCGGCAGATCAGCTGCCATCTTTTTGTCAAGGAATTTGCCTCTTCCGTTGGCTTGTGTCTCATCCCAGACGTCAATGAACAAAAAACCCTCGTCGCTCCTCGTCTTCCCTCTCGGGCCCCCACCGCCCTCTCGAGGACGATCCCAGGGCCCAGGAACGGTGCGTACATTGGGGGCCCATGCCAAGAAACACCCTGCTTGCCTCCAGGGTGCCCTGGGTTTCTTGGAATTCTGTGGTTTCTGCGATGGAAAGCGTGACGCTCCCACACCAAACAATCTGGACGCCCTGGGGTCTCAGGGTTGGGTTTCTTGTGGCAGGTTTCTTGTGGACTGGCCTCCACTGCATGCCTCCCTGGCTGGGCCGGGGGGGGGCAGAGTGGGCCGCGACCAGGGTCCAGAAGGGGCCTGGCCAGGGGCGGCGGGTTCGTGTAGGGGTCTCGCCGCCCTCGTCCTCGCTCTCCGGGCCCTCCCTCCGGGCCGGGCTGGCCGGTCGCAGAGGGGGTCCAGTTGAAGAGGGGGTCCAGCTGGTGCAACAGGTTTGCAGCCATTGCGTTGCAAATGTGTTGCGCTAGAGAGTTGTATTGCATCGTGTTGCAACCGCCGTATTGCACGCGAAAACCCAGCGGTGGCTGCTCGTTCATCCTTCCGTTTCGCCTGCTTTTCCTGGCGCTTGCGCCCGGTGCCGTCTTGCCGACTTCTTGGAGGGAGCCCCCTCGTCGCCATTGCCGGGAAAATCTGCCTTGAATGACTTTTGTCGTTTTTCACCCATCCTCCTTGTAGATAACTCCTCCCTGTCGCACCCCGAGACGGATCGGTAGGGCGGGCTTGGCGTTTCGCCTGAGACTTTCTCACCATGTGTAATCTTGAAGCGTTGAATTTTGCAACAGACTCACGGATGGAGGGCGGGCGGTTCTCAAAGTGTGGTTATCGTTTTAGCGACGCGCATTTCGTTCCAAAATTTGGTAGAGTTTCTGCCCACCAGGCGGGTTGCGGCGCTCTTGGGCTGGGCTGTGCGTGAAGGAGTGCCCAAATCCACACACACACACACACACACACACATACGCACACACGCACGCACACACAAACGCAAACACACACACACACACCACACGCACACAAGCACACACGCACACACGCACATACGCACACACGCGCCGCACACGCCGCACACGCCGCACACACACGCACACGCACATGCAGCACATGCCGCACACACACACACACACACACACACACGCACACGCACACGCACACGCACACGCACACGCACACGCACACGCGCACGCGCACGCGCACGCGCACGAACGCGAACGCGCACGCGCATTCGCATGCGCACGCGCACGCGCACGCGCACGCGCACGCGCACACACAGACACGCACACGCACACGCACACGCACACGCACACACACACACACACACAAAAAAAAAAACACAGACACACAGACACACTACAGACGACACACCGCAGACACACCAGGCACACCACAGGCACACCACAGGCACACCACAGACGCACCACAGACACACCACAGACACACCACAGACACCACAGACATACCACAGACGCATCACAGACACACCACAGACACCACAGACGCACCACAGACACACCACAGACGCACCACAGACACACCACAGACACATCACAGATACAGAGACACAGACACAGAGACACGCACATACATACATACATACATACATACATACATACATACATACATACAAAGCTACCTGCCTGCCTGCCTGCCTGCCTACCTACCTACATACATACGTACGTACGTACGTACATACATACACACACGCACACGCGCACACGCGCACACGCACGCGCATCCCTCCTCCTGCGATGTGAACCACAGCCGCGCCGGGAGCCAGTGGGCGAGCGGAGCGCCCAAGATAAGTTGTGTTCGAGCGCACGCCGACTGCAGTGGGCGGCGGCTTGCCTCGTTACTGGCTCGGGCATGTCAGCGCCGTCCATCTGGCACCCTCCCCTCCTCGTCTCCACATCTCCTGGCCTCGTCCTCGCCCCCCCCCCCTCCTCATCCTCGTCATCGTGCTCATCATCTCTCTCTCTCTCTCGTCGCGTCCCGCTTCCTTCTTTGTGCCTCCTCATCCCTCCCCCTCCCTCCTCTGCCTCCCATCCGCCGACGCAGCAGCCTCATCCTCATCACTATTCTCCCTGCTCCTCATCTTCAACCTCATCCGCCTGGTCCGCCCCATCACATCCATTGTCGTCAGCATGCCCAGCATGCCCATCATCACTGCTATCATGCTTATCCGAAACATTTCATCCCTCCTCATTTCGTTATCCCTTCTCCGGTCCGTACACCTCCTCATCATCCTCATGCATCCTTCTCCTCCACCCTCGTTATTTTCTTCCTGCTTTTCGACATACCATCGGAATGCCTACTCATCATCACTGTTCTCAATCGCCCTGGAGGGAGGGAGGCTACTGGTGGTCAACCCGTTTTTCCTCCTGTGGGGCTACAATTACACCACCCATTCCAGGAATTGCGACCCCGCCTTGATGGACGCCGCCTCGGAGACCCCACGGCTAGGCAGGTTGAAGACGGGGAGAATGGGGAAGAGAAGGGAGCGGGGGAGGAGAGGATGAGGAAGATGAGGGACGCTAGGCGGAAGAAGAGGACGTCGTGTCAGGCAGGTCAAACGATTTAGCGGGCCTCCATTCCCGCCCTCTCCCCCATATCAGAGTAAATAGCGGCGGTGCAACTTGATCTTGGGACTGGCACGCGTTACGGCCGAGCGAACGAAATCTGCTGGCGCGTTGTCCCGCTTCCGACACATTTGCGAAGGAAAAATTGAGACCGCGCCCAGGGGTGGAGGGGGACCTTCCGAAAAGCATTGCGCGTCGTTGCGGCGAGAGCGGCCAAGTCTATTACTCAGGGGGCCAAAGTGTCGATGAGCGCGGCGAAAATTTGCGCCGCGCCGAAACAGCATTGCCACACACACACACACACACACACGCGTTTTATGCGTCGGCGGCTGGGCAGAGGGTGACTGCTCCGGCGATCTGGCAACAGGGGGCGCATTGTATGCGAATTCAGGCCGCGATGCACGAGGGAAGAAGAGGAGGCCCCAGCGCGACGGGGAGAGGGGAAGCTTGGCCCGCTCGGCCAAGTCGCCGGCTGCGGCGGGAGGAGCGCCGAGGGGGGGGGGAACCAGCCGCGGCGCCAGGCAGCAGCTTGCGGGGGAGGACGGCAGCCCAGCGGCGGCCGGGCAAAGTGGGGCGGGAGGTTGCCTGCGGTCAAGGCGCTGAAGCCAGGACCACGTGTGGGTTCGGGCGGAGCTCTTTTCCCGGCCGCTCCTGAGGTCTAGGCTAAGTCGTGCTTGTCCCTTTACAGGAGGGAGATGTAAAAATAATCCAGGAATAGTTTTGGGACAATTTTCAACTATTTTAGAATATCGTATAATTGTGAGTATTTTCAATTCTAGACGCTTCGCGTATCCCCACCAGCCCGTCCAGAAACGACGCCCAGGCGAGTAGAGGGTCGTCCTGAGGGGCTTTTCGGCGTCTTGGGTGCCTCGGGGGGGCCTCTGTGGGCCGTTCGGAATCCTCTTTGGGGCCTCCTGGGGGCCTCTTGGGGCCTCTTGGGGCCATCTTGGGGCCTCTGGGAGCACCTTGGGTGCCTCTGGGGGGTCTCTTGGGGCCTCTTGGGGGTCTCTTGGGGGCCTCCTGGGGGCCTCTTGGGGGGCCTCTTGGGGGGCCTCTTGGGGCCATCCTGCGGCCTCTTGGGGCATCCTGGGGGCCTCTTGCGGCCATCGTGGAGGAAATCGATCAAAGAAGGGGGGTTCCTTAATTTGAGCCCCCCCCCAGGAACTCCAAACATCGCCTCCTGTACCGCTCTTGGAGCGCTCTTCGGCGCTCTTGGCGCCGTCACGGGGCTTTCTTGGGCCCTTCTTGGAGCTATCTTGAGTCATCTTGGAGCCATCTTGACGCCTCGGATGTGCATCGCAAGCGAAAAAGTGAGAACACCAAAAACATTGATTTTCCCTAGGGTCTTGAAGCATTTTGGCCTCTTGGATGCATCCTAATGATGCTCTTGTGGGCACTTGGAACCGTCTTGGAGAGTTCTTGGAACGTCTTGGAACATCATGGGGACCATCTTGAGGCATCTTGCGCTATCTTGAGCCATCTTGGAGGGTATCTTGGGCTCCCTGAGGCCCTCTTGGAGCCGTCTTGGGCCATCTTGGGCGCTCCAACGCGCCGCGGAACCCCCTGTCCAGGTCAGTGGGGAGGGGGTAGGGGGAGGGAGGGGTGGAAGAGGAAACGCTCTAAACCACCGACGCCCAGAGGGCTGGTGGGATTTGTCGCCCAAAACCCTCCTGTTGGGGGACATGCCCAACCTAAATCTACGCCCTAGGCCGAGCCCTGTTCGTGGCTTGATGGCTAGGATCTAGACCGAGATCTGGCCGAGAAGGGTCTGCTGGCCCCAGCCTGCCCAGGAGCGTTCGGGTTCGCTGTCGCGGGCCGGACGTACGAGGCCCTCTCTCGCCGGAGTGACCTCTGGTGCGGGCCCGATGGGGCCCCCCCCAGTCGTTGAGCTCGGAGCGGCAGCAGCGGCCTGCGCGCACACGTTTGGCCACCCTGCGCCCCCGTGGAGCTCGGGCCGAACGAAAGGCGGGGATAGGGAGAGGGGGGGCTACGAAATCTGCTGCCTGCAGCTGGTTTCGGCCCCGTCGCCGGGTCCATTCCTCGATATATCCATGGGCGCCTCCCGGCGCCGGGAAAATCAGCTACGCGAGTTGATTCTCAACCCCCCACCTTTGCTATCCCCCCCTCGCCCGGCCCGAGTTTGGCCACCCTTCGTCCCCGCGAAGCCGCGCATCCGAGGCCACGCTTGCCCGGGGTCGCTCCTGCGTGTAGCCGACACAGGCCTGATGACTGAGCTCCCGCAGGCACGCATCTTCCTGCGCGGGCCCCGCACCCTTCCTTTGCGGGTAGGGCTCCGCCCCCTTTTCTCTCTCTCTCTCTCTCTCTCTCTCCCCTTTTCTCTCTCTCTCTCTCTCTCCCTCCCTCTCTCTCGTTCTCCCCTCCCGCCTCCTGTCTGTCGCTCCTCCTCCCTCCCCCCTGCGAGTAAGTCGGGCCTGTCCATCTACAGGAGGAATAGTCAAAAGAAGTCAAAAAATAGTCCAGGTACAATTCTTCGATTACAGTCGGGGCGCTGAAGAAGGAACCTTTTTCGTTTGGGAGGGGCTCCGTGTTCCTTGGTTGTTTGATTGTTTGCCTTAGTTTGACCTTCGGTGTTCGAGTGGAAATCGAGGTTAAACTTAAGGAAAGAAGGGGCCTCGTTCCTTATTTATCGTTCCTTAGGTCAACGCCCCGACTGTATTCGATTTGCACTACCTGTGTGCATGTTTTGCTATGTCTTAGATCTGCCGTCCAAAATCCGCCTGTAGGAGGACATGCCCGACTTCAGCCTTCGCCCCGCGCCGCCGTCTCGTCTCGCTCGCGGGACAGATACAGCGCCTCCGGGCCCGCTCGGGGGGCACCTACTTGTTCGAGTAGGGGACCGGCTGCAGAGCTCGTCTGCCCCGAAGTTGGTTCTTGCGCCGAAGCTGCGAAGGGCCTCCCAGAGCCTGGGCCACCAGCTGGTCTCCAAGAGGCCCCCACAACGCCCCCCAGACGCTCCAACAAACCTCCCGGAGGCCCCCAGAGACTTTCCACAGGCGTTCAAGAGGGTCCCAGAGGCTTCCCAAGAACCCCCAAGGAACCTCGTTCAGAACCTCGCGTAGAATGTTCAGTAGCTTCACGGTGTTTTTTTTTTCTCGCAGCTTCGACGGAAAACCCTTTCTGGGGGCCAATCGATTCCGTGGTCGATCCCCTACTTACTCGACTTGTGGGCGCCATTGTCCAGCGGGGCGGCGCGTCCGGTTGCCACAGGCGCGCGCCAAGCCGCCCGCTCCCCCCCCCCGGTTTCGCGGCTGCCAGTGCGTTGCGAGGCGTCGTGGCTCGTCGCCTTCCCGTCCGCCTGTCGCGTGCCGACTGCCAGCCAGCGCACGCAAGGGGTGGACCCCTAGCGGTGTTTTGGCGATGTCGTGGGCCGCTCTCGTTTCGACTTCGCTCTGCGGTAGAGGCGGATTGAAGACAGAAGGAGGGAAACGAGGACATGACGAAGACGAGAAACACCGCTTGGGTCGAGCCCTGGCGCACGCCGAGGGGGGCCGTTCGGACCCCCGTGAACACGCTCTGTCCAGGCCAAGATGGTCTGCCGCGCGAGGCGCTGGTACCCCAAGCGCCCGCACGCGGACTCGCCTTGCGACTCGGGACCACTCTGTACACCTAGTTCTACTTATGCGTATATATGTATACAAATATACACATTTACAAATATTTGTATGTTTATATAAATGTATACATATATGCATGCATACATGGATATCCAGCTGGCTGCGGCACTTCCCGCCACCGTGCCTGCAGCAGGAAGGAGGCTGAGTGTAGGAACAGCGCAAGTCAGACGAGTGGTCTGAATTGGTACGGGTCGAAACGTCGACCTAATCTTCGTCCGCGCGGTAAGAAGGTTGTCGAGTTCACGCCCCGCGGCAATTCAGCGATTGGTCTGACTTTGGGAGGGTCGTGATCTCGACCTCGTCTTCGTCCGCGCGGTAAGGAGGAGGAGGAGGAGGAGAAGGAGGAGCAGGAGGAGGAGGAGGGGGAGGGGGAGGCGGAGAAAATGAGGACGAGGAGGAGAGGGTTTCTTGAGGCCTCCTTAGAGCCTCCTTGGAGCCTCCTGAGGGCCTCTTGTGGCCGCTTGGGGCCTCTTTGAACTTATTGGGCCGTCTTAGGGGACTCTTGGCCCGTATGACGCTTTCGGTGGCCGTCGTGGGCGCATCTCAGGGCCGCCCTCTTGGAACGCGTCACGGCCATCTTCGGGCCCTCTTGGGAGCCCTTTACGCGATGTTTGGGTCCTTTGGGTCGATTTGCGGGCCTCCTTGGACTGTCTCGGAGCTCACTTGGAGGCTTGTTGGAGGCCTCTTTGTCCGTCTTGGGCAGTCGGAAGCCCTAACAGGCGAGGAACTCAAATTTTTCCAGCAACAAGAGAAAATCAATGGTTTGGGCTTCCTCTGGCTCTCCAGGAACGCCTCTCCATCTTGGCCCGTCTGGGAAGCTTTTTGGGCCGACTTGCGGTCATTTTGGAAGCCTTTTGAGCAGTTATGAGCCCTTTGGGGCCGTCTGATTGTCGTCTTAGTTGTCTGAGAAGCCATCTTGGCCGTCTGGAAAACAAATTTACGGGGGGCGGCGTTCGGCAGGTGCTCGCGATGAGGGGGGGCAGTCATTGAGGTTTTACACGATCGCCCTGGCAGAGGACGGGATTTATAACACGCCCGTTCCGTGTAGGCACGGCGGCGGATACACACACATACGTACACACACACACACACACATATATATATACATATATATATATATATAGAAATAAAAATAAATAAATGAGTGGATAAATAAATGAATAAAAAGTGGGGAGGGGGTCCTGGACCAGGAGGGGGCCTCACTTTGCCCAGTGGCTGTGGTCACCCCCCCCG